ATTTGTATCAGGTCAACTAAACATGGGCATAGTAACAATATTTTTATACTACATGTATCCATTTTAAATACACTAACCTCACTCATTTGTAACAAGTAAGGCAAAAATGTAATTAATTCAGAAAGTCTTGTTAGGACCCCACCTTGATGTTTCAGGACCCCACTTTGGGTCCCGACCCCAACTTTGAGAAACTCTGTTTTATATCATCCAATCATGATCATAGGTTCAACCACAGCGATGATAGTTAAAACTCTCTTTGTGTTTTCAGAGTGAAAATCAAATGATGAACTGGAGTGAAAAACCAACAATAGCCTACACTGCTGAGACACCTCCAGGCGTGAAAAAAGGTCCCTGACTCCCTTAGAAATAGATTTTTCTACCCATATTTTAACTTTCTACAGATGTGATATTTATTATACATGTATTAATAAATGTGTGTGTACTTTTTTCTGTTTTGCAGATACCAGTTTGCCGTTCCCATCATCTTACAGTCCAGAGTATGTGGAGGCCTGCTGGTATCCATGGTGGGAGAAAGAAGGCTTCTTCAGTCCTGAACATGTGAGGATTTCATTACACAAAACGTCTTTTTAAATTAATTTATTTACTCATTTAAAAACAAAACAGTTTTATATACAATAGTATACTAAATAAACTCTATAGACAATAAAAATATACAAATCCAAAACATATTTTTGTGCTTTCAGTTAAGTGAGTTCACAACCAATGAGTTTAGTTTTTAATGTGAACAGTTTGCAACAATAAGTCATTAATTATAACCTTTTTGAATCATTATTACAATGCATCCTTCATGTTCCTAAAACAGCAGAAGTACAGAAAGATCAGACATAAATTAATTCACAGATCAATAAAGTTATTCACCATGAAGACTGAAGCTGGATGATATGTTTAACTAACCAGCAGAGAGTTAAATGTTGGGACCTGGACAGCTTTTATCCTCATCCAGAGATCTGCACACTCAATTTGGACTTTAAATAAAATGGTAGAAAAATATACATATTGAAAATATTCTATCATAAACAAACAAAGATAAACACTTAGAAAAAGACATTGAGATGAGGTTTGGTGTCTGTAGGTTGCTCTCAGTCCTAAATGGAAGTAATATTACATTATTACATAATAAGTAATAATAAGTTGCATCATGTTGATATTGAGTTTATGAAAAAGACTTTCTGTTTTCCAGTTTTGCACACAGCAGTCTAACTTATGTGTCTGTGTTTCTGCTTTGTTTGATTTCAGGAGAGGTCGTCTCATCGTGTGGATCAAACCTTTTCACTTTGTATCCCTCCACCAAACGTGACGGGGACGCTGCACCTGGGCCACGCTCTGACTGTAGCTGTGCAGGACGCACTGGTTCGATGGTACCAGCATCACATGCTGAGTGTTTAGTCAGGTGTCTGTTGTCAATATTTACTACAAGCTTGTGTGCTGACAGGAAAAGGATGCAGGGCTACACAGTACTGTGGGTCCCTGGATGTGACCACGCAGGGATCGCAACACAGGTATGTCTTTGTCTCTTCAATGTCTTTGTCTTGTAAAATATAAAGGAGACTTATAAAAATGATGCCTATATGTGTGGAAAGAGTTACTGATTCTGTAAACATTCTCCTTCAGTAGAGTCCTTTTATGACTTTTGCTACTTCAGCAAATTATACTTTTTGAGATATTTAGTTTTTTCTGATGCATGTTTCTCACTGAAAATGAATGAAGCATTTCTCAACATCATTAAATCAAATGTTAACTGTACTTTCTGTCTTTTGTTCTGGTTCTGCTTTTTTATATTCTCTCTCTCTCTCTCTCTCTCTCTCTCTCTCTCTCTCTCTCTCTCTCTCTCTCTCTCTCTCTCTCT